CCCAACTCAAAAAAAAAAAAAAAAAAATCTTTGTTGTAAGTTGTTGCACCTGAGTCATCTTAGAAGTTGGCGGTGACTCATTTTAGGTGACATGTCAGGATGAATTCCTCCTTAAAAACCAGGCACCCGGGCCAGGCTCAGGTTATTTTATAATTGAAGTGGCTGTTATCAATAACTTTAATATTTATGAAGTCAAAAATTATCTTGCTGTGTGTTGAACTCTAAAACTTTAACAAGTACGTGTCTAAGAAACCTGAGGGATCAGAAGACTTACATTTTTAAAAACCTTTTTTTTTGTTTTTGGAGAAGTATTTTGGTGGTACTAGCACAAGGCCTGGCTTCCCTATCTGCTTGCAAATAGCAGGGTGTAAGGTAGGCACTTAGATTTTCATGACAGGATGTCAACTCTAATGCCAGGGTGCCTGGAATCTAAAGCATATAAAATCTCATAGGTTTAACTACTAGACCTTATTGGTGCATCAAACACTTGTCAAACAGTTGCTCCATGAAGTGACAGATCCAGAATTAGTCAAAAGTTTGCCTTAGACAGCTGCTTATTTTCATTGCAAGCACTGTTTTCAACTTTTCCATAGGTTGAAAATCTTAATAATTTGAAAAAGTAGTACAGCAAATACTCAAATGGTCACCATCTGATTCAATTATTCTAGTTTTTCATATTGTCTTTATCTACCTTTGTATTTATCCATTCATTTATCCTTTAACTATTTTAATGTAAATTGCAGATATCACCCCTAAATACTCAGTGTGCATCTCCTATGTGTATGAATACTCCCCTATATATCTACAATGCCTATTATACTTAAGAAAACTCAAAATTCCCTATTATGTAATACCCCAATGATATTAAAAATTTCTTGTTTCTATCTATGTTTCATATACTTTAAAAAATCTGAATTGTGATGTAATCAAAGGTTACATATTACATTTGGTTGTAATTCCTAGATTATTTAAACTTTCTGTATTAGTAACCTCATCTGAAAGTAACATTTCTGATTTTTACAAAATTATCTTCACCATATTAGAAATTATAGTTACTAGATAATCATTGATCATTATGAGTCAGGACTATGCCAGTGGCTTTATAAAATTTATTTTAATCAAATTCTAGTGTTAAAATGTCATTATATTTTGCCACTAACTTACATAGAGGAATGTTTATTAAATCTACTTATTTTGAGTAAGCTTCATATAATTCACAAACCTACAGTTAATATCACTTGTCAAATTTCAATGTATCACTTACATGAGCCAAACAAATATTTTATTTAGATCCAGAGAAAATAAGTTTTATGTCAGCAAACAGGTATACTTCCCTTGATTTGACAAGAAAGACAACCCAGCTCCAGGACCTCTGATCTGGGTTTCATAATTAGTGAAAATAAATGAATTCTGTGAAATATATGCCCACTGTTCTTGCTCCTTTGAAAAAAATTATTTAAAAAATTGTTAAGGTTTTGTATTTAATATAAACCACCCCAATATTTCTTGGAGATGGCCTGAATATGATCTTACTGACTTATCTCCCATTGGATGTCTAAATTAAGGTTGATTTTTTTCTTTGATACCTTTCATGCCAGATAACTAAATAATTGATTTTAGCATTTCAGTGATCCCAATTATTAATTTTTCTTAAACAGTCCTCTTCCTTATTTTTAAATAGGCCATATATGCTACTTTAAAAAATTATATTGAATATCTCCTTATTGTTACTTTAAATATTGCATACCTCTTTATTGTGAGGAAACAGTTATAGATTAATTTTCTGATTTTCATAAGTTTTTTTCTCATGTTCAGGGAAATCTCACTGCCTTACCTGTCAAATGAAGCACAATTTAAGTCATGCAAACACACAAGTAACTAGTAATTATATATTTGAAAGCTTATATTGACTTACTATTCTTTAAAAAATGTTTTCTTTAGGCACTTGAAGATTTCGGCTGCCTGAAAAGAAGTGGCAGGGACAGTGGCTACAGTGATATCTGGTGTCCTGACCGTGGAGAATTTCCTGCTTCTTCAAGCCACTACAAGAGAGAAGATTCCTTTGAAAGCTTGGATTCTTTTGGCTCTAGGTCATTGACTAGCTGCTCCTCTGATATCACATTGAGAGGGGGACGTGAAGGTGAATTGTGCTTTGGCTGTCTGTATATTTTTATTTTTTCATATCAAGATAGAACTGGGAACAGGAAAGAGTAGAAAAATGGAATAAAAACTATTTAAGCAAAAATTTCTCCAAGAAGTGGTTTTCCATAGAGACCCAAGTGTAATTGGGGATTTCTTTTTTGTGATTTTTTTCCCCACCCTTGTAGTGGAGATAGTTTCACTTTTTAAATTCTGTTTCTGCGTTCCTCATCAACAAGGGTACCTGCATAATCAATGTTTGTATACTTAACCCTGAATTGTACACTGCATCTTTATGATAATAAAAAAAAAATTCTATTTTTGGAGAGGACAGCAAGAAAACAGTTAACTGTGTTCTGTTTTATGAGTGATTGTCTATCCTGGCTCTTCTCTCTACAGATTCAGGCATAATAATTTGTGTTAATGAGTTCTATTAGCTGACATATCAAAACATAAGAAGTAATATAAGAGTCTGCAAAATGTCTCTTCTAGTTCCTGAGTAATTTTTTTCTCGCTTTTCCCCAAACTATAAAAAGAAAAATCTTAAGAAAAACAGGGAATTATTTTTAAAAATTATTTCTATCCATGAAAAGAAATGATTGCTATCTATCTTAATAGAGTATTGCGTTAAACATTGGTAGATTGGGTAACATGATATCTCACATGGTGATGGGAAATCTCTTTTGGTCTGTCAGGGTCAGAGCTAACCTGGGATGGAGCAAGTGTGAAAGGAACATGTTAATGAAAGTCCTACTGTTATGGGAAGAAACCTTTCCCAAAAATCCCAAGCTTATGGTCAATTCGATTATTTAAATGCGCATCTTATTCCTATGACTACCCAGTAGCGACAGCTATTTCTGACTATATTTTTCTAGCTGTTTAGATTTGACTAGATTGAACTCTCAAGTTCCTTGAAATGTTTCTGTGCTTTCAGGAACATCATCAACATGAAAAAAAATTAAGAGTTGTAGCTGTGACTCAATATGAAAAAAATGAAAAGTGCTGGCTGTGAACTTGTGCTTGATTGTTAGGGATTTTATTTTGTTTGTTTATTTGGAATATTTTATATTTCTAGATGTTTTTCCTAGCACATTTATTATAAAATATCAAGCACAAGCAAACTTAAAATAATTTTACAGTGAACACCATTTACTTACCACCTAATTGTATCTAACATTGTACTATGCTTACTTTATTGTATACCGTTCTCCCCCTCCCTGCACTAATTTTTATTTATTTCTAATTATCTTAAGTTATTTAAATTTTTTTGAGGCATTTCAGAATATATCTTCTGAATAACACTTCTCCTAAATACTCTAGTGTGCATGTCATTGTCATTTATTTGTCTTCTGATGTACAAGGCAACATACAATGAATTTGTTTTTCAAAAATAAAATTATTCAATTTATTAAGCACAGTAGCACAAAATTCAAATTCTTTATCTTTTAGAGGAGTGGTAGTAGTTAAAAATGAAACTAAAAAACTGTGAAAGACTTTAAGTGTTAACCTTTATAATTACTGCTGCATTTGTTGACTGTTTGCTATCTAGGTGTGATATTTTCATAGCCCAGATTACAATTACAATACTTGTAGGGATATGAATCTGAGTTTATGATTCATCTAAGTGGTTAAAGCTGTAAAAGCAGAGACTGAAATTCTGAACTCACCATACTACTCTGTCCTGACTGAAGAACCCACAACATGCAATGCTTAAATTCATATCTGGCCAACTAAGAATAGAAGGGGAAAAGATTGAGGGCCTGTGGTATTATACAGACTTCAGTGGTGCCAAAGCAGTGGCCCAATAGTGTGGAATCAAAGTCCTCTGACTGAATCCTTTTTAGACTGGGCGCCTGGTTCAGGTAACCACAGAGGAGGGCCACGGTCACATCCCTTTTTGATCTTGAGAAATGGGTTGCAGACCTTCTTTAAAGAGTGCAGAAGTGAAGCCTTGGTAATTACAACTAGGCAGGGGGAAAAAAGCCTAGGGTGGAGGCCCTAGGGGAGGATAAAGCTTTTTTTCATGATTAGTGTATTAATATTTCACTGCTACCCACTGGGTTGTTTCCCAAACTGATGATTACCACAATTTAGGATAATATTTTTAGAATTTCAGTGTCAGATTCCCTAGTTTTGTATGAAAACTCATATATCAAGAATGGTATTTAGGAAAAAAAAAAAAAAAGATCCAGCAACCCGCCCCAAAAAGCAAACAAACAAACAAACAAAAAGACCCCATAACCATGCAGGGCACTGCACTGGTCTTAAAAAAAAGATTTTAACTTTAAACATTCAGAAGTAGAATAGTCTATTTAAGATTTTAAAATTGCGCATGTACAAATTTTGGTAAAAGCCACAGACACATTCACTGGACACAAGGGAATAATGTCTTGTTTTTTAGAAGATAGTAAAAAGAAGGCACCAGATTGGCTTCTCCTCCTTCCCCTGGTTAAAACTGCTTATATTTTCTCCCTTTTGCCGTGACTCCCTTCTTACCCTACCCCTGTCTCATGGCTGTAAGTTAAACCACTTCCTGTAGACTCTTCTCCGTGTTATTTACTATAGATTCCTGCCAGGGAGGAGGGAGGAGAGGAGACTGCCTTTAGCTCAAGTTTACCCTGCAGGTGCTCTGTAGCTGTCAGACCTTTACTTGCACACCTTCTTTCCAAATACATAGAAATGAGGGTGGCAGGCTGGCAGGAGAGAAACTCAGCTTTGATCTGTGATGTGACTGTCTCTCCTTTTTTTCTATATCTTTAAAAAAGCAGATTTATTATTATTATTATTATTTTAAGAAAACAGGTGACTATTTGTATTTATCTGACCTTGAGATGTATCAAAGAGTATTCTTTTGAATTTGTGTTTAAATCATTTTGAATCAAAATACAAAGTTCCCATTATGGCTTCTAAAACCATCCTTAGTAGAAACCTTGAGTTCTGAGCTCTTCTTTAGGCTTAAGGCTCGAGATTCCTTTGGAACTTTAGAAGTCACCCAGTCCAACTCCTCATATCTAATGTGTGATTCTCGTTCGTGGGTCTTGTTCATAGACCTATTTGTGAGCTTGTGTTTTATTTTTGCTTCTCTTTGCACCTTCCTTATCTCTCCCCTTATGTCAATTTTAGATAACTGCATGCCTTATTTTAAATGACTGAGTCCTAGAATTTATTTTGCATGTCATCTTATGTGTCTGTGACTTTCCTGCTAAATTTTATTCATATGCTTTACATCAACAAATCTTATGAAAAATCACTGAGGCAAAGAAGATTGAGAAGGAAAGGGGTTCAAACTAGGACTTTTCCTGCTTAGAATGTGCAATGCAAAAGAATGTACTGCATGTGCTCCAGTATGCAAAGCAAGTTCCTCCTAATGGATCTTATCACAACTTCGTGACAAATTTCTAAAAATATTCTCTGCAGTTAGCAGCGGCTGCACTGGGTTTCCAAGGGAAAGACAAAGCAGGCGTGCTGTGTGGGTTTCAGTTAGGCAGATGATCTAGGGAATAAAGCCAATTCTTCTACCTTCTTTATAGGTTGTGAAAGTGACACAGATTCTGAATTTACGTCCAAGATGCAGGATTACAATAAAGATGACATGTCCTATCGGAGGATTTCGGCTGTTGAACCCAAGTCTGCTTTACCATTCAATCGCTTTTTACCCAACAAAAGTAGACAGCCATCCTATGTGCCAGCGCCTCTGAGGAAGAAAAAGCCGGACAAAAATGAGGATAACAGAAGAAGCTGGGCAAGCCCAGTGTATACAGAAGCAGATGGAACATTTTCAAGGTACTGGGATGCAATGTGATTATTGAGTTCAATATGCTTTGTGAATTGGTGGGATGTTAAATATGATCAAATGAATAGCTCTGAAACTATGTTTTGTAGATAATACATTAAACTGGACTATCGAGAATTTGTTTCTTACCTTTATTTTTAGTTGTACATATCTTGAGGATGTTTCTTCTGTTTTAGAATGTCAGCATATGATTTGCTAGGTCTTTTTTTTGATGCGTGACTTCAGTTTATTGGTATTTTCCAGTGTACTAGGTGACTTAATATTGTTCATTGTGAGCTCTGTTGTGTTACCTTTTTCCTTTTTTGTTTTTATTGATCTTAGTGGACATGAAAAGAACCCTTTAATTTCCTGTCAAATTAGCAGAACAGAGTGTGATTTTTCAAATCTAGCTTCCTGTCAGAAGGAGGCGTGTGGTTCTGAAAGTGATTCGGATTCTGAGTATGAACAAAGGTTGCCTGACATAATTTTGGATGACTTAGCCAACCGTAGATTTCAAGTGAAAAAGAGGCCCCAGAGTTTCGTCTTGAAAACCACCTCTCCTAACTCTTGTCCACAAATGTTTTCTTCTGCTGATACGTTAGCCACTGGGCTATATGAACTGACGAGGTCAGAAATATTTGTCCTGAATCTGGATGTCTTTCATGCCACTGATCTTAATTCAGAAATAACACCCCAAATTGTTTGCAATTTTTCTCTTTTTAACACAGCTTCTAATCAAGTGTCTTTGGCCCATGTGGATCTAGCTACTCCTGAATTAAAATAAGATACAGTTACAATGCCTTAACTTTGTTCTAGAAACTGTGGTGATGAGAATGGGAACTAATTTGCTTCATTTATAGTGATATAAACTTTGCGAGCTGGAAAGCATGCCTTTTGTATTCTGTGTCATAAATGCTCATTCAGTGTCTTAACATGGTTGGATGTTTTGAACAGTAGCCAGAGGAGGACTTGGGGCACCCATGTGGAGAACTGGCCAACAGTAAAAGAACCTTCAAACTCCTCTTGTTATTTGGAAGGGGAAGAAGAAAAGACATCAAGCATACCCAACACTGTTAAGGATGATTTTTATGTGCGCAAGCTAAGCCCAATCATGCCAAACCCTGGGAATTCTTTTGATCAGTTTCTTCCCAAATGTTGGACCTCAGAAGATGTGAACTGGAAAAGAATAAAAAGGGAAACTTATAAACCTTGGTATAAAGAATTTCAGGGATTCAGGTTTGTCGTTGTGCATGTTTCTATTATTCTAGTGTTCATTCAATACTCCTTCTGGGATTCTGTGTACATTTTTTGAGAGAAATAGAGAAAGGCTAATTCGTTTCCTTTAGCATCTGTAGAACATATGTAATTGAAATGAATTTCTGTTTAAATTTGAACCTTAGGATTTGCATCTTAAAATGCCCTTTTCTGTATGTAGTCAGAGTTTGACATTATTTTTGGTGGTTCTGTTTTTCTCCATTTCTCTGTCTTCTTCCCTCCCCCTCCTTGCTGCTTTTCTCCATGTCGCTCACAGTAGAAGGAATTCAGATTCTGAGGATGAGGACTCAGGCTCTGACAGAAGCGCCACCATTTTTAGTAGAATGCAAAAAGCAGAGTGTAGGCTAGATGGCAACTACCAAAGACCTTCACTCTTGCTGGAGCTAGCTACCAAACGGGCCAGCAAATCACGGGACACCCATGCAGCCTGGAGAAGCAGTGGTGCTTCAGATGACCCCAGGTGCACCTGTTTGCATGAGCCTGCCTACTGAGGCTCTGGCCTCAACCATCCCTCTGCCTGCTGTTGCTGCTACATTAACCTGGGGACTGGTTGCACTGAATCACGAAACCTTACTCACCTAATAGACTTAGTACAAAAGCATAATGTATAACATAGGGCTTTCTGCACAAGCAGGTCAGCTTGAAAGTCTATAGGCTTCAGCATTCTTCTTTAGCATAATAATGTGTGAGTTTAATAATTGTACGTGGCAGTTATTTTGGAAAATCACTTAAAAAAAACTTGTTAGAAAAATTACCTGATTTTACATGTGTGCTACGTGTGGAAATGTGGAGAAAGGAAATAACTTTTAGGTAGAGACAGGGAAGGGCAAGCCTGGAAAAAAAAAAAAAACTTCAGAGCAATTTATCTTCTTTTTTTCCTGCTGATTACATATACCTATTGTATAAAGTGCATGGTGTCCAACTCTAGAAACTTCCAAGATCATTCTTTCTTTTCTAGGGAGGAATTAGGTTACTCTGGCTAGTGGAATGAGTAAGGGGTGTATACAAAGGAGAGGCATGCTTATATGTGTGTCAGAAAGGGATGCTTGATCCATGTTCCTGTCCCATTGGTTGTCCTTGATGGCACCCACCTTTCCTGAGAAGTATGCTCTGCTCTTGTGTCTTTAAATGCTATCCAGAAAAGTCACAGGAGATAGCATTAAATGCTAATCTCTCTTCCTAGCAAGAGTCCCTTCCATGCCCCCTAAAATAATTCACCCTTGGGAACAGGTTAGTTGTTGGTCTGCTACCTCATCTCCTTTTCTCCTTAAACTTAATAAGATTCTCCCTTCCTTTTTCCTTTCTGTGCATCAGTCAGTTTTTATTACTTCAGGCCCTCCAAACATACTCTGATGACATCTTGACTTCTGAAACAAATATAAAAATTGATCCCACTTCTGGCCCAAGGCTCATAACACGCAAGAGGAATCGCTCTCATGCACCAGGCTATAGAAGAGATGACCTCGAGATGTCAGTCCTGGATCCTGACTTAGAGAACGATGATTTCTTTGTCAGAAAGACTGGGGCTTTCCACGCAAATCCATATGTACTCCAGGCTTTTGAAGACTTTAGAAGGTTCTCTGAGCATGATGATTCCGTAGAGCGAGATATAATTTTGCAATGTAGAGAAGGTGAACTTATACTTCCGGATTTGGAGAAAGATGATATGATTGTTCGTCGAATTCCAGCACAGAAGAAAGAAGTGCCCCTGTCTGGGGCTCCAGATAAATACCAACCAGTCCCTTTCCCTGAACCCTGGACTCTTCCTCCAGAAATTCAAGCAAAATTTCTCTGTGTACTTGAAAGGACATGCCCATCCAAAGAAAAAAGTAATAGCTGTAGAATACTAGTTCCTTCATATCGGCAGAAGAAAGATGACATGTTGACTCGTAAGATCCAGTCTTGGAAACTGGGAACCACTGTGCCTCCGATCAGTTTTACCCCTGGCCCCTGCAGTGAAGCTGACTTACAGAAATGGGAGGCCATCCGGGAGGCCAGCAGACTTAGGCATAAAAAACGGCTGATGGTTGAGAGGTCAGAGTGTGTTTCTGCAAGAGTTTTGCTTGAAGTGAATGGTCTTGTGTAACTTTTCTTGTGCGAGAAAGCATCATCATGTTGTTCAATTCTGCATGTCGTGTGTCATTTTGAAGCATTCTGTAAACATTTAATTTGCTTTGAAAAACTCTTAGTCATTTTGTAGAAAAAAATACAATTCCGTATTTGCATATTCTAAATCACTCATTTAGGCCTATTTAAGAAGGTGTATACCCAAACCTTGCCTTTGACCTTAAGCAAGACTGTGGTACTATTCTACAATATGAAGTTTTTATCTATAGTTAGACTTTTATTCTCATGTTTTGGCATTTCTGACACAGTTTGGTTATACTCTGGTTTTTTTTTTGAGTTGGAGTCTCACTCTGTCACCCAGACTGGAGGGCAGTGGCCGTTCCCGGCCACCATAGCCTCAACCTGCTGGGCTCCAGCGATCCTTCCACTTCAGCCTTCCAAGGAGCTGGAACTACAGGCGTGCACTACCATACCCGGCTAGTTGTTTTTTTTTATTTATTGTAGAGACGAGGTCTCGCCAAGTTGCCCAGGTGGGTCTTGAACCCGCGGGCTCAGGCAATCCACTCACCTCAGCCTCCCAAAGCACGGGATTATAGGCTGAGCCACCGAGCCCAGCTATACTCTGGTTTTATGTGTTGCTCACTTTTTATAGTGTGTGAAACTTTGGGAGGAAAATTTTCCCTTAAAATATGGCATTGCAAATTTCATTTAACTTAATTTTTGTTTTGATCTAGGGTCCTTGTACAATCAATTTGTATCTTATTTTTATATACAATTTAAAGTTCAGTGCAAACTTTGATGTTAAATGCATGAATAATATTTACTGTCTGCTGAATTTTACATGTATGTAATTTTGGTAGTTTTGATAATGTATGTGTTATGCAACTTGTCTTTTTGATGAATGTTCAGTTTATTGAACTTAGGGATGGACAAATCTGATTAGGCTGAAAACATTAGTAGATCAGAATCTAACTTACCAGTTCCTGTCAACGTGAAGCCTTTTCTTACAAATTTTTTGGCTCAGAGTAAATTGAGGATATCTTTCATTTTGCTTAATCTGAATTTCTTGAGAGAGGAGATGGATGAGAACTTGAAACATGGTCAAGAATGGGTCAGAAGAAGCAACCTTTTGAGATTTGTCTATCTCCAGTTAGACTCTTAAGTAAAAGACATCGAACATTTAGAAACTGATACAACTGGATAAAAATTACTTTTTAATTTTTGATTTTCTGGTTTCTTAGACTCTTTGAAAAGATTTATGGTGAGAATGGGTAAGTTTTGCAGTTCACAGTAAAAATTCTGTGCATATGGTTTGTTCTTTGTGTTAGTCACTTCTGTCCTGGCATGGCACTAAATGGGGATATTGTGTACTGTGCATGCAATTTTTAAAATGGGAAATTTTTATTTTGCAACCTACTCGTAATATTTCTGCTTCTCAGTGCCCAGTGCATGAAGTGCTACATAACAAATAGTTTGCTTTATTAGAAGATTAAAATTCAGCTTCATCCCTTTTTCCTCTTCTTAAAAATTTAATGAGTTGATTAAAAGTAACAAGAGCACTTACCTAAGATTAAGTACATGTGTCTTGGTATTTGGTTGCTGCATAGACTAAAATTTTGATTTCTGGTTGTTAAAGAACTACATTTTAGAACATCTGTGATGGAAAAAGACTATCAGCATTTACGTCAAGGTTAGAATGTACACAACTGACCTTATCTACAAACTCGGCTCATGGAAAGCTTTGTTAGTGGTGAGGCATTGATCTGCCTATAGTGGTATTTGGAACTATTTTCAAGATTCCTGATTAGGGCAAAGTGTTAGACTATAGAAAGAAAGTTCTGTATTTTTTTTTTTTTTTTTTTTTTTGAGTTGGCGTCTCACTCTGTCACTCAGACTGGAGTGCAGTGGCTGTTCCCGGCCACCGCAGCCTCAACCTGCTGGACTTCGGCGATCCTTCCGCCTCAAACTTCCAAGTAGCTGGAACTACAGGTGCATTACCACGCCTGGCTAATTTTTTTTAATTTTATTGTAGAGATAGGGTCTCACTTATCTGTAAGTGATTCACGACCCGCAGGGGTCTTGAATCCACGGGCTCAGGCAATTCACTCACCTCAGCCTCCCAAAGCGCTGGGATTACAGGCTGAGCCACCAACCCTGACTAAATCCTGTATTTTTTATCCTTTGAAATCAAATCCTGGATTTGATTTCAAGGGGTCGAAAACACATGATTTGATTTCAAGGGATCCAAAACATGTAACATGCTGTGTTTATAGTGCAAAATTGACTCTTCAAAATTGCAAAAATCTTTGTAATTTCTAATATTGTTTCAAGGACTATATTTATAACTCTTTTTTTTTTTTTTTTTTGGTCCACTGTTTAATTCTGCTCACCTGGTAGACATAATAGCATATTATAATATAAAACTAGCTTTCTGGAAATATTTTCCATTTCTAGAAGAAATGAAACTTAAAATTAAATCACTTACATGTTCTTAGTACAAAATCACCATGTGACTATATCTTAATATTTTCTACCAAACTTCCTGTAACTTTGTAAATCTAAGGGCTAATAGTTTTTGAGAAGGGGAACAGAGTTTAAGGACATTGAATATTGTAATCTGCCTAAGCCTTAGTAGCTAAGTATCTTCCTCTACAAGGATTTCATCTCTAAAAATCTTTAATTTTAATACCTTTTTTATATCTTTGATAATTCAGAAATCTTAGAAGCTACTAAAATTACTGTTTAAAGCAGTATAATCATTCTGGATGTCATAGGTGTAATTGAGCCATGGGCAACTAATGGCAAGTACTTCTCAGCCACAGATTTTAAAACTCGACCTCCCAACATGCTTTCCACGTGCTGTGGAAAGGCATTATCCCCTATTCTGCTCATCAGCGTGATGCTTAAGCATCTGTTATTCTCAGTTCCTCATGGGAAAGCTGTTTCAACTTGATTCAAAATGCTTGAAGATGCAAAGAGATTTTTATTGATAACTTTCAGAAGCATTTTCATTTGTAAATTAAATGTGACTTTATAATATGTCTCAGAAATAGTTGTTTTTCCTAGTCCAAGTATGGGATGGGAATATGAACACGCACAGTTCTTTCAATGACTGGTGTATGTTCTCTCTAGTGAAGGGTAACTTATATGACAATTCAGAAAAGAGAAACCTAAAGCCAGAGCTCCAAAAGCTAAGGATTTTTCTGGATTGCAGATAGCAGTAGCAGTTGTTCTCTACAGACTCTTCCAAGATAGTTGTTTGGATAATACAGTATTTGTTTTAAAGGATGTTCTGCATGCAGTTTAGTGCCAAGGTAACTACACAAATAAAACAAAATTGTCTGTAAATTGAGGTTGGTGAATACCTCATGACTTGTCAAATAATGGAAGGTAATATGAATGTGTCTTTAAAGAACTTATGTGCTTTAGACCCCTTGAAATCAAATCTAGCATATAGGATTTTTTCTATCATCTATCAGTTACCAGTACTTTTTTTTTGAGTTGGAGTCTCACTCTGTCGTCCAGACTGGAGTGCAGTGGCTGCTCCCGGCCACCGCAGCCTCGGCCTGCTGGGCTCCAGCGATCCTTCCGCCTCAGCCTTCCGAGAAGCCGGAATTACAGGCATGCGCCACCACACCCAGCTGATTTTTTGATTTATTGTAGAGATGAGGTCTCACTGCCCAGGCGGGTCTCGAACCCGCGGGCTCAGGCAATTCACTCACCTCAGCCTCCCAAAGGCGCGGGATTACAGGCTGAGCCACCGAGCCCGGCACCAGTACTTTTTTAAAGTTGATCTACTATAATAAAAATATACATTTAAATTGGATTAAGTATAGGCTTTTAATCTAGAACTTGGTTTATGCTTATGCTGAGTGATATTTCTCTGAACATAATGTACATTGTCAAGCTTGACACACTAACCTGGAAAAGCATTATTGCTCAATATCCTGTAACTGAAAAATAACTGCCTATAACATGACTACCTTGTTTTTGGTAAAGACCATGTTAAAGAGAAATGAGCAATATCTTTTGAAGTCTTAGGCTGTTAATTTCTGGCTTGCTTTTTATTTGGCATTTAACACCTATCTGTTTATTTTTAGTAAGATGCTTTGTATGTGACTGTCATTTGTGTATGCTTTTGTGTTGCATGGACTTATGCCTGTATGGTTTCATGAAATTTGAAAATTTGATTGTTTTTTGCAAAGGTATTAATGGCAAAAATTTGTTGTAAAAGTATGTAGATGTAATATTGTAATGTGATTAAGTGATTTAATCTGCTGCCAGTATCCACAGGAAACAAATGCTGATTCAAGGTGAAGTTGTAATGAAAGACAACTGAGACACCAATATTTCACTTATGGGTTGGACTAAAGATTCTATAGAATTATAAAGATATATAAGACAACAAGAATAGAAAATAAAGCTGATATGAACTATTTCTGGAAATTTTCCCTCCAGGGAGTGTTTGGTAGTATCTGGAGACATTTTTCTATTGGCCTAAGCCAGTGGGGGTAGGGGGTGGAGGGGATGGGGAAGGGCTGCTACTGGCTTCTAGTGCCTTCATAGCCAGGGATGCTGCTGCTGAATGTCCTACAATATACACCAACTTACTACAACTAATAATTTTCTGGCCCCAAAACATCAACAGTGCTGCTGTTGAGAAACTCTGATTTAGACTATAAAATTAAAAATGAAAAATTCTCATTATAGTGCCTTATTCTAGTGTATGATAATTCCAAACTTGTTATCCGGGTTTTAGCTTGATTATTCATCCAAGAATTCCTATAATAACTAATTCAAATATATAATGCCCAACGAATATATATTGGAGGTACACAAATAAGTAAATTACGATTTCCCTCTGAAAGCTGGGGACCTTTAATTTAGATCATGGAATTTCTATTTGTTGTGTAAGGCTATCAGTGATTTTATTTTTGGGAAAGTTTACCATATACTGTCCTCTTTGATCCCTTATTCCTTAGATACTCATCTCTAAAGTTCCGGAAAGTGAGTTCTAAAATGAAACACCTAAGACTAGTCAAAAGGTGCCAGGAGTGTAGTAGGTGATCCACATAGTGGGAGAAGAGAGAAAGGCTTTTAGTGATTTTTTTTATGGTTGATATCTAGAAGGTTAACTTTCCCTTTCTTCCTGTCTTCCCCTTAAATACTATTTTAAAAAATTATAGTCAACCAAAAAAGCAAGACACTAGCCCTGTATTTGGTAAAAATCTAAATGCAGTTCTAAATTGGAGTCTTTCCAAATAAGGAAATACAAATGAAGCAGGACTTGTAGGAGAATTATGATGAGATTTGCTTGTGAATAGTCCTTCATTCAGCAAAACATACTAGAGCCCTGCAGTCCTTCATAGTTTCCCAAGCAATTTTCCTGATGCTATCTCTGGTGCTTATCTCAATTCTGTGAGATAGACAGGTAGGTATTACCTGTATCTTAGAGATGTGGAGAAAGAGAAACAAGTACTGCAGCTTTCCCAAGGACTTATGCCTTAGGAGTGGTAGAACTGGACTAGGACTCTGCCTCGTGAGATAATCCACGTAGAATGCTTGCCGGGGTTGCTGCCACACAGCAAGCCCTTAGAAGTTGGATATTATGCTGTTAATACTGATAAGGAAATAATTCTTCATGATCTGGCCAAGAGGCTCTTGTACTCCAAAAGTTCTAGATTGTATCAGGATGATCTGGAGTGGTGTCTCTGATTTGAAACATCTTGGAGAGTTAGCTGTTGGGATCCCATGCAGTCATGTTTGCATGAATAAGAATTGGTATATAGCACCAGATGGGTTTAAACCCTGTGTGCAGTCAACACAACCATGTTCAATTCTCATAGCAAACCTTCCACTTAGCAGAGGAAGAACTGAGGCTCAAGTGAACTGATGTATGTCAGCTTGGGGTGAGATCTGGAACCACAGATCTGGAGCCCGGGGCCCTCCCCTCCTGGCTCCTTCCGTACCTAGTTCCCTCTGCTATGGACTGTGTGCAGGCTTTATGTGGATTACTTTATATCCCCTAGGGAACAAACTGAGCTCGCATTTCTGCCTTACACAGGGACTTGTCTACTCTGGAATGTATGGGACTCACTTTGATCATAGTAAGGGCCTCCTGTGTGCCAGGCTCTGTTCAGAACTGGGGGAGCCCAGGAGAAGGGTATAGTCTCACCCTTGATAAGCACATTTCTTAGGAAGACATGCTATCTTTTCACAGTGCAGGAGGTTGAGGGTGAAAAGGAGAGCACCCCTGGGAGATTCTGGGCCAGGTCTGTTCATCTAGCTTTCCTCCCACCAAAATATTATCAAATAATTAACTAACATTTTGATTTTTATTCTGGACTTTACACAATCTCATGTGTTGGGTGTCTAGATTCACCTCATGCTCTGGTCCTGAAAATTTTTTCCAGCCTCTTCTTCATGAGTCTACTGTGTAGCATTAGCTCAGATAGCCTCATTCTGTTCAATATGACTTCATATTCTCAAAATCACAGAAATCAATTTTATTTATATATCCATATATATCCATATGTGTCTTCATATATTCTCTATGTCTTATTTATTCCTTAATAAATCCTATGAAACTTTCTCTATAGAACTTTGGATAGCAACAGCCTGCAAAAATAATTGGAAACATTTTAAGTGTATTTTGCTTGATTTAATAGGATAAAACCTATCTTGTTCTTAGCATGGATATTAAAATAAGTTTATCCTGCATGCCATTTTCTGTGTTAATGTGTTTTCTTCCCAAGCAACACAAGACCTGTGAGGGAGAAATAGGCAAAATGTGCATGTGCTTACATGTGCACTATGTATGATATAAGACTGAGAATTAAGTACCATGAAACAGGTGTGGCTAAAGCAGTAGAGGAGTTGAGAGAAGGGACAGACCACTTTTGATATGGAAAAGCTAGGAAGACTTTCTTCAAAGTGATAGAATATCATCTAGGTTATTAATTCAGCACATTGATTGAGCACTTACCACAGGCTGGGCTTTCTTTTAGGCACAAGTGATACACCAGTAGTCCAGAAGACTCCTGCTTTATAATCTTACAGGGCAAAGCAAGTTATATGTTAACATATATACAATTTAGATGGCAATACATGCTATGGAGGAAAGAGGATGAGGGATAGGATGAAGGGGGCATTTGCTATTTCTTGTAGGGTAGTCAGGGAAGGAAATACCAAGGGGACATTTAAGCAGATATCTGGAAGTGAGAGAGAATCCATGTGGATGTTTAGATGAAGAGCATTCCAGGCAGATGGAAGAGCAGGGGGAGAAGCAAGAGGTTTTAGTAGAGCCAGGAGGCTTGTTGACTGGAGCAGTGTAAGGGAGGGTGTGCTGCAGAAAGACACAGAGAGGCAGTAGTGACAAGGTAATGGTGAGCCTCTTATGTCTTGGAGGAACTTGCTTTTTAAAAAAATGTATTTTAAAGATGTGGGGTACAATTCAGTATTAGGTATGGAACCTGTTTTTAATTGTAGTGAGATGGAAAGAAATAGGTGGGTGCTGAGTAGCAGTATACCATTATTTGAATGCAGTCTGGGAGGATCTCTCTGACTGCAATATGAGAATGCACTGTCGGCAAGGAAGGGGTGGAAGCAGAGAGATTATTATAATCCAAGTAGATGTGATGTGATTACTATAATCATAATAATACAGGTGGGGATTCTTGGATCAAGGTGTAATGGTGTAGGTGGTGAGAAGTGGTTGTATCCCAGATATATTTAGAAGGCAGAGTATTAGAATTTATTGATGGGATCAGTTATGATGTATGAGAGAAAGAAAGGAATTCTGATGACTCCAAGATTTGTGGCCTAAGGTCAGGAAGGATGGAATTGACCTTTACTGAGACAAGGGAGATGAGTAGTGATGATTCATGGTTTTCGTCTTTGACAAATTTGAGATGCCTGTTAGATTTCCAAGTGGAGAATGAATAGGAGGTATGTACCCATCCAAGGATCCTGAGGAATGATGGCATTTAAAAAGCCATATATACTGATAGGCTGTTGAATTGGAGGGAACATTTGAGGAAAGCTGTTCATTGGATGTGGAGGTTGGGCGATAATTTAAGAAGCTATTTTGGAAGTTCAGGTAAGAGTTGACTGTATCTGATCTAGGGTGTTGGCAATAGAGGTGGAAAGAACTAGACACTAACTGAGAGGACTTGATAACTAATTGAAAGTGGGGAGAAGGGAGAAACAAAGGTGAAAAATAGTTCTTAGGTTTCAAATGTGGATGATTGGAGGGCAGGTAACCATATTAGCAGCCATAAGGAGAAAAGCAAGTTTGGAAACATGATTGAGTTTGGCTTTATCAACAATAACCATGTATTTAGTGAGTTACAGTTTAAAAAATCCCTTCTAGATATTATTTTAATTGGTTCTTTTACAAGTGAGGTGCCTAGGGGATATACATGAAGAAATATTATTCAAGAAGCAATTGGAAATGAGTCAAAGGAAGGACTGGTTTAAGGTGTAGATTTGGAAGTCATTTGCTTGGAAATTGTAGTTGAATTTCTGAGCAAACTAAGAGCAAGTTTGTTATAAAAGATACTTTTATATGATGGCAAAATCATGGGTAAGGCAAAATTTAGGTGTCCAAGGAGGAGATGTAGATTTACTGAATAAATAAAAGTGTAGTTAGTCAGTTACAGTGAAATAAAATCAGAAGTGCAGTATGAAAGACCAATAGAAAGGAAAATTCTGGATGCCCCACCTTCAAAAGCACACTTAGGTGCTCCTTCTCCCTCCTCCTCCCCCTCCCATCTCCCCCTCCCCCTCCCTTTCATTCCTACTTGCTTCTCAGTATTCACATCTGAGTCCCACCTTTCCTGGAGGCCTTCTTCAATCTCTTTTTTTTTTATCTGGTATAGGTTACCAATCCCTTTTATGTGCAGGAAGGCAGCACACACGTGCCTGTGTCTGACACCCCACACTGTTCACTGGTTTCTAATGTGGATTGAGCTCTTTGAGAGCTACACTTCATTGCGTTCTTGTAGAGGTGTTACAAGTTACCTTAATAAAAAAATAAGTCAGTTTATAGAGGTAGTTATGATAGACTATTAGAAACTGCTCAGGTGCTTTGAGAATAAGTCCAGTGCAGTTATGGGGCAGATCTTAAAGAATCTTTAAGAAGCAGCAGCACATTTATTCATGATATTGAACTTGAGGAGAAAATATCAGGTAATCATTAAATTATTTAATAAGTCTCCAGAAAAGGTAGCCAAACCTCAACAGATTATCTTTGGGAGAGATAGAAAAATAGAGGTAATTTTAGTGACCATTATTTTTCCAAAGTAATTCTTTTGTGCATTGACTTTCCTCCAAATGAACATTGGGTTGTTTTTTCAGACTTGCACAGCGTTAATCTAATAGTTTTGTGAAAAAATTCACACTTGAGTTGAGTGCTAGGCTCTTGTTTCTGCGTCTTGGAAAAACACCATTTATCTCTGTCGTGCTACTTATGTGATACTATCACTAAAGCATCTAGGTAGTACAGCAGAAATTTAGGTGGAATTTCCAAATATAAGTCCAACCTTCCAGTTTAACCTTTAAGTCTGCTCATGTGAACTTTGGTAACTGTAGGTATTTTTGTTGTAGGAGTAAGTCCTTGAGTGATGTCAATGCAGAGGATGTTCAAAATTTGCGTCAGCTACGTTACGAAGAGATGCAGAAAATAAAATCACAATTAAAAGAACAAGATCAGAAATGGCAGGATGTGAGTATTTTTTAGATGGAGATGGGGAGAATTTGTTTGACTTTACTTTGCTTCTCTTAAAAGAAAATATACTCAAGACAATTTTTCTTGCTATTTCAGAATTCGGTTTTATAGAAAATATGAACATATATAGGTTTTTAAACCTTTTTTTGCTTATTACTATTGCATATTTTAAAGGCAATTGTGACAAATATTAGAGGATGTTTATCTGTTAATATTCTGTGAATTTTCAAATATGTAAAGTTGCTTCCTTGTAGTATTATTGACTTGTTTAGTTGTTTTGGTGGCTGAATTTGGGGTATGAATGTTAACTATGCTTAGGATGGGAAAAGACTTTGCCAAGATTAGGGATAGGAGAGGGACACGGTCTAGCACAGACACTGGCATCAGTGGAGGGAGATGAAGAGGGTTTCTAATTAAGAGTTAAGTAAGGATATTTGAGAAGAAATAAGTAATATTTTGGCTGAAGATGTCATTATCTAATATAAATCAAAATGAGATGTTGTCACAAAGGTGACACGTACTGCCAGGTGTTTATATGGATATAGACTTCATCTTTAGTTTTGATCCTGAAGAAAAAGTTATATCTTTTTGTTAATTGAGTAATTGTTATAAATTTGAGGAATGTAATGAAGTACAATAGGTAAAGTATTTTTCAGAGCAAACTCAAAGGAGTTTGAGGACAACTTTATGGTAAGAATTGAGTGGTAGCATGAATAAAGGGGTCAGTGACAGTAAATCTTAATTTTCAAAGGAATTAAAATCTATGAAATGAAGAAGAAACCCTTGCCTTGGCTACATTTCTAACTTCCAGCATCTCTTTTAATTGTTAACTCAATTTAATTTTCCAGAAACAGTAATTCAATGTCACTTTGCTAAAATACATGGTGAGTTTTCTGGCATGAGAGTAAGTACTGAGGGGTTTTTCATTCAGATGAAAATTAATGCCAGTTATCCTGTAGGACTAAATGTGCACTGCTTTTGTTCTTTCTGGAAAGAGTTCATATTGTTTTCAGGCTGTTTTTAAAGGAGGAGTGACCCTGTGGGCTCCCAAAGGGTATATACTAAGCTTACTTTGCATACCCTGGGGGTGAGGTTTGGTTTAGTCTGAGACCTTGAATTTGCTTCTGTTTGGACTGGAATGTCACTAACAGTTCTTAGTTTGACATTTCTCTACTTTAGGTGCTTAGAAAAGTTTGTACTTTGAAAAGTGTCTTAACTCCTGGGTGTCAGAACCAGCCTAGGTTGCTAGGGGGAATTGGAAATCTGACTTAGGTTGATTGTCCTTGGGGTCATCCAGCTGAGTTAGACTTGGATTCCTGGAGGCTATAGAAGATGTGTTGGCTTGTTCCTGCAAGATCTTCCTTATTGGCTTGTCCTGTTTGGACTTAACCCTTTTGAAATCACATATCAGAGTCTTGCCTTCCCAGAAAAGCTTTCCCAAACTCTTTCCTTCTTGAGGGGAACCACATTTTATTCATCTGTTTACTTATAGACCTGTCTTCAAGTGGGTACTGAGCTTGTGTTTGTTAAATGAAAGATGAATGATGTATCGGAGCTTAACCATCACAATCATATTTCTGTTTCCGTCTTAGAGAGAAACATGTTGTTTCACGCAGCAACCAGGTTATTGGAGTGAGATGAAAATGAGTTTCAGACAGGCCTTAATCTATCTCACTGGCACCTAATTACAAGCATTTAGCATTCTTTGTGAAATGGGCAACGAGGCAGACACTTTCTGGGAAAACAGAAATGGAGTCTATCTTATTAGGTCAAGTTTTTCAGACACATGAGATAAAGGCTTGGTACAGAAACACTGGCTATAAAAAGCAAATTTAGGGCACCTTGGCATCCAGTTGGAGTGAATAGTTTCAGTGATGTAAAAGGATACTCTGGCATTCTCTCACTGCTAGAAAGTGTGTAGAAATTCAGGTATACCCCTGCTAATGTGATTTTTCTTTCAGGACCTTGCAAAATGGAAAGATCGTCGAAAAAGTCACACTTCAGATCTACAGAAGAAAAAAGAAGAGAGGGAAGAAATTGAAAAGCAGGCACTTGAAAAGTCTGAGAGAAGCTCTAAGACATTTAAAGAAATGCTGCAGGACAGGTAATAAGGTTGAATGTGTCTCACGGCTGGAGGGATCAGTGTTAGATATTTGTGTAAGTGTAGTGTGACTTTAATCAAATATACAATGGAACGTTCAGGATTTTGCTCTGCAGTGAGAAAAGCAAAGTATTGCTGAAATAGTGATCTAGAGTAACAAAATAAATGAGAACATAAAGTAGATGTGCACTATTTCTTCTTTTTACATTGTGCATTCACATGCAGAATTGGATGGTACTGACTTTATTTAGTGTAGACAAAATACTGCTTTTTACTCTTAAGTGAATTTAGGAATGGAATGGCCCAATAAAATCAGCTCTTACTTTTAACTAAATTGTTTATAACACGATAAAGTTCTTTTTATGTTTTGTGGTGCAATTTAGATTATATTTTAAAGGAAGTTTATACATAAATATGTGGGTTTATTTATTCTTTGCTTTGCAACATAATAGCATAAAGGTCACATTTAAACTTAAAGTAGTTACTGTCTGAAGGCTTAGGATATTTATAGGTCAGGGAAAAGACAAATATGCTTCCACTGCAATATCAAAAAGGAAATATATTGTCAGATGGAATTAAACAAAGCTCCTTCCTGTCCTAAAAACCATTGATAAGCATGGTTTCATTCACTTAAATGCAATTCAGTTAGCTTGGGAGGTAGGTACTCCTTTCTAAATGTGAGAGATGAGGAAATTTCATGAACTTTTCTATAAATATGGATGGTGGATTTTAACCCCGAATAATTGTTTGTGCAGGTTCTATCAAGCTGTATGAAATCATACGCTAGCTTGATCTCCATAAAAGCATGAGTTGTTTGTGGTTTCAGTTTTACTAAATTAGTGTAAACTTCTTTCAGGAAAAAGCTCCCAATGCTGTCAAGAGATCCACAACTTTGGAAGTTTCAAATTGATTTTCAATAAATTATATCTACGATGTTTTAATTTTGAAAGAGTTAAAAACTTGTGGATAAAATTTTGTGAATGATTTCCTTTTTAAATTTCCTTGTTTTTTTAAATTGAAATCTCTTTACAATAAAGAAAATCCATGTGAATGTTTAAGAGAATCTATAATTTAAAAAAGTCAAGTTCTTATAATCTTTTTAAGTTGTGTCATTTAAAATAAATTTACATCTTTATACACTGTTAGTGTTGAATTGATTATTGTGTAAAATTAGTAATCTTTTCTCCCAGTCTATTTTGTATGTTTTTAAATTTTTTTTAAATTTTAAAGTTGTGAGGTACAAGTCAGGATTGGGTACAGAAGTGGTTTATGTACAGGTGAAGTTAATTATGACCTCCCTACTTCTGTGTATCAAGTGCACGACTTCGTGGTAATGGTGTGTTTCTTTCTGCTCAGGGAGTCCCAAAATCAAAAGTCTACAGTTACATCAAGGAGGAGAATATATTCTTCTGATGATGTGTTGAGTGAAGAAAGGCTGCCCCCCACACTGACTATGTCAGAAACCAGTTGCCAGAGTCAGAGAGGAGAAGAAAAGGGAACAACTTATCTTACAGAAATTTTTAAAGAAGATTCTACAACTTCTGCAAGAAGAGAGGACAATATAACAGCTGAAATTCAGTTTCCTTCTAAAAGCCCCATGGAAGAACAGCGTCCAACCTCTTTGTCTTCTCAGCATTCACTGAATACACAAATGGAGTTGACTCGTGTTTCAGCTTCTCTCCCCAGAAGTTACCAGAAAACTGATACAGCTAGGTTAACATCTGTGGTCACACCAAGACCTTTTGGCTCTCAGTCAAGAGGAATCTCATCACTCCCCAGATCCTACACGGTAAAAAATGTTCAGTTCACTTAGTCTGTTCTGAAGAGCAAAATGTTCATGAACTTGTGCAGAGGCTGGAATCATATACATTTGATGTGTAAACTGTACACATATAAGTCAATTTTATTTTATGCTAATTTAGATGCAGGATATTTAATACTTAAGATTTATCTGCAAAGATGCAGAATTTATTAAACTTTAAATTCTATGGAGGTAAGGTTGATACATTTTAAAGAATGAATTAGATACGATACAGTCTGAAGTCAGGGCATGAATTTTTAGTGCTATGTTTTTTCAAATATAGCTTTGTAAACTATTAGGTTGAACAGTATCAAGTTGCCAGTGGTTAGTTCTGTCTTGACCTATAAAATAGCAACTTCATACGGTTTTAACCTAAATATTTTCAGGTGCTTATGCACAAATTTCTGCTTTTTCCAGATTTCTACTTAATCAGAACTTGATATATTTGAACATAATTCTTTTTTTTTTTTTTTTTGAGTTAGAGTCTCACTCAGTCGCCCAGACTGGAGTGCAGTGGCCGCTCTCGGCCACCGCAGCCTCGGCCTGCTGGGCTCCGGCGATCCTTCCGCCTCAGCCTTCTGAGTAGCCGGAATTACAGGCATGCGCTACCACGCCCGGCTCATTTTTTAAAAATTTTATTGTAGAGATGAGGTCTCGCTGCTCTCATATAGTTCTTTGGGAGTATATGGCTACTTTTTAACAAAGTTATATATACATATAAAACTTTGTCCTAGCAGTTTACTTTTGGAAATCAGTACCATAAAAATAAAAGTTTTCTACAATGGTTTTGGAAGTGACAGAAAACTTTTAAGCAACTTTAAATGCACATCTAATAAATAAATTGTTGATTTCCTACAGTGGAATATTCAGCAGTTAAAAGGGCTAGGTTAGAGTTCTATCTATTGACCTGGAGTGACGTAAATAAGAAAAGCAAGTTTCAGAAGACCGTATGTAATATGAATGCTTTTATTAACGCTGTTCTTCCCACTACATGTATGTTTCTGTTGGTGTGAAAGAACATACTCTAAGTTTTCAGCAATAGTTACTTTACTGTGGTGGGTATGTTATCTTGGTGCTTTTTGGTTTTTTTTCTTTCAGTAGTTTTAGGAAGCACAGATAGTTTTTGGTTAATGATTACATTGTTATGTTAGTTTTTAAATATTAATTTAAAAAGTGAGGTTTTTTTTTTTTTTAACAGAAAGCAAGGTAACAGAATACCACGTTTAAAATTATGTTTTCTGTTTAGATGGATGATTCTTGGAAGTATAATGGAGATGCTGAAGGCATTAAGAGAACTCAGAGCAATTTGGTCAGCAGTCCTGCACAAAACCCAGATGCAGGCCACCTTGCTCTGGTCTCATCTGGCCAGAGAGAGGCAGCAGCAACAGCAGAGGGTGTGATGGAATTGCTCTCTCTTGCACCCCCCTTCTCATCTCCTTCCCAAGACCAGGCTGCCACTTCTAAAGCCACACTGTCTTCCACATCTGGCCCTGATTTGCTGTCTGAATCTGGAGCAGGGGAAAACTCAACCCAAGAAGAGGTCTTAAGGTCCCAGGTGAGCTTGGGAGGGTTCTTTTTCATTTGTGACTCAGACATTTTTAAGTATTGAAGTCTGAACACCATGTTTTCAATCTGCAGATGTTAATTTGAACTGAAAATGTGCAAAATGATGTTATGGTTTATTCTTAACGGATTCTGGTAGGTCTGTTTCAACTTGAGTTTATAGATAACCCTTGTGAGATGTGTATATAGAGACCCTATGGACCTATCTCCTTGGGACTTGGCTGGCATTTTCTCTCTACTCCACACTTTAGTAGCTGTCATCTCGTACTTCTAGTATCCAGTAGTCCCACGTTTCAAGTGCAGGAGTCACTTGAGAGATTTTAGATGCAGACTAATATATATGTGATAATAGAAGTTTCTTCCAGGGAAATTAATTGACTACAAATAGAAATTGATGCATTTGATGGATGCTGGCCTCTAGGGACATAGCATTTCTTTTTCTATCATCTTAACCTTCTAGTGACTTTTTTTTTTTTTTTTTTGAGTTGGAGTCTCAGTCTGTCACCTAGGCTGGAATGCAGTGGCATGCACACTCACGGTCACTCTAGTATCAACCTGCTGAGCTCAGGCGATACTCCCACCTCAGCCTTCCATGTAGCTGGAACTACAGATGTGCACTACCATGCCAGCTAATGTTTTGATTTACTGTAGAGATGAGGTTTCACCAGGTTGCCCAGGCTGTTCTCAAACCTGTGGGCTCAGGCAGTTCCCTCACAGCCTCCAAAAGTGCTGGGATTACAGGCTTGAGCTACCACACCCACCCTCTAGTGACTTTTAATATGAATTTATACTTTAGAATATCTAAGCCTATGCTACGTAGCAAGACCTTGTTTCTACAAAAAACTAAAGAAATTAGCTGGATGTGGTGTCTCATGCCTGTAGTCCCAGCTACTTGGGAGGCTGAAGCAGAAGGATTGCCTGAGCCCAGGAGGTCAAGGCCGCAGTGACCCATGATTGTGCCACTGCACTTCAGCCTGGGCAGCAGAATGAGACCCTGACTCAACAACAACAACAACAACAAAGAATATCTAGAATTTTGGATGACCTCTTGTCTCTTAATGGGAGTACTGAGACTTAGTTACAATTTGGTAACTGTAACTCTTAACATTTGAAATCCAAACAAAATATATCACTAGATAAAGAATGACTGGGAATGTCTGTAGTTTTTCCTACTTGAAATCTTAATCGATGACTTTAAAAAAAATTATTAGGTAATATATCGAGCATCATAAGTCTCGATGGATGAGAACAATAGCCTATGTTATACCCAGGGAATGTAAGTTACCACTGCATGAATAATAAAAGCAGAAGCAAAATGTCTTGTTTTGTGGACTTGTATGTTTGCCTTCACCTTTCCAAATAGCGAATTCAACAAAGCAGCCTGATTAATGTGTTGCACACTGGTGTTAGTACCTCCCTCAGGTGGCAGCCGACTAGCTGCATCCATGGATTAAGGAATAGAGGCTGAGTGAGGCGAGTGGGTGTGTCCCCGCTTGATACAGTTCGGAGGAACCTCACTTTACATGGTGCTGTTTCAAGTCTCATCATTCATAGATTTATGCTCCTTTGTTACCAAACTTGAAATGGTATCCTACTAAGAAAAAATAGACTTCATTTAACAATTGAAGCTATTGAGATTCTTGAATGTAGCTATGTTTCCTGCGGTGACTTATTTATTTCTGATGCTTGGTGTGTCGATTTCTGTGCCACTGGGGAAGTAGCTTCCACAGCATCACCTTGACCTTGTCTCTGAGAAGAATCTTACTGACTTGAGAGAAGGCTGTGGCTGCATAAAAAGCTGGTGAGCAATATGTAAAGGGCATTGTGTGACACTCCTCCAAGTTCTGTTCATACTCCACAACTCTGGGTATTCCGAGGTCAGCGGCTTCAAAAATAGTGTGTGGCAGATCATCCAGATGTCTTGGTAGCTTTGTAAAAGAGGGTTCTTCAGGTCATATGCTCTTTCCTACCTTGCACTTGTGCTGGTAATATCCTTTGATTTATTCCTCCAGGATCTCCCTTGATGCTACTCCTTTCTACCCCAGTTTCCACTGTCCTAGTTCAGGCTCTTTCCCTATCAGTGCAAATAGTCACAGGTGTTAGTGCCTGCCACACAAGACTGGCATCAGATCAACTTGCCTGATACCAGGCTGGACTCAGTAATTTCTCTGCTCCAAAACTTCTAGTGGCACTGTGTGGGTTACTGAATGAAATTTGTAGCACTCAGGGGAGAACTGACATCCCTCATGACTGACTCCAAACTCCAAACTGACATCCCTCATGACTGACTCCAAACTCTTTCGTAGTGTAGAAATAGCTGACATTAGAGAGTTTACCATGTATCATCCAGACTTCTCAGGGCTCTGACTTAATTAATCCTCACAGCAATCCTATGCTGTCATCTGTAATTCTAATGATGCACTATCATCATTATCCCTATTTTATCATCATGGAAATTAAGGCATGCAATGGTCATATTAATTATCCAAGGCCATAGAGGGGATTTGAACCGAGGCAGTCTGACTCAAGATTGCCTATATCATGCTATATCCTGAGAAAGAGAGATGACTCAGTTATAAGACTGCTTGCTTTTTCATGGATACATTGTATACTTTTGGGAGCACATCATGGTTCCCTCACGTGAAAAATGTGTGTTTTACACATCTCTGCCTTTTGAAGTCCTACTGTTTCTACAGTGCCCAGGAGAGCCACTTCCTTCATGAATCAAGGTGTACTACCCTCTTATTTGGAATTGTCTTCTCACCCTTGAAAGTTTCACTCACTGAATTCTTCCTTGTTCCATATATTTAAATGTTTCTCCCTCACTGATGTTCTTTGTGCCTTCTACAGCCTTTTTACATAATTGGCACTTACGTATTTACTGACTTGAATTGCATTCAAGGCCTTGATTACTAGGCTGAAGTATGAACTTGATCCAGCAGGTAATTTACAGCCCTTACTGGTTATGCAGTGTGGGAATCTTGATATTAAGGGCTGTTTTAGGAATGTAAGTATTGCAGTGTTCCACAGAATTATTTTAGAAAGCTAAGTCTGGAGGCAGAGACTGATTAGGAACCTGTCACAAAACTGTGGCAGTCAGGTGGCTTGTGACTTAAAGAAGAAAATGCATAATGAAGGAAAGGCTTTAATATGGCCTTATTTGAAACCTGCCCACAGGAATTTCCTTTCTAACCTCATTGCTGAGCTGGGAATTTTGTTCCCCTCTCTTCTCTTTGCCCTCTTTCTTTTGTGGTTTTTTTTTCTTTTTCTTTTCTTTTTTTCCCCCCTGCCTTCCTTGCTGATCTAGGCTGCTAGCGCTGATCTGGGGGTGACCCACAGCAAAGGGAGGGAATGTGACTCCCAGGGTCCTCCGTCTGCCCCACAAACGTGTTTTTCATGTTTTTTTTTTTCTCAAATAGGTCTTGACTACAGGTTTCGGTTTTCTCGTTAGTCCTTTCAGAGTCCTGTGCTCTCAAACCTCATACAAATCCATATTCTAGAACCTCTGCTCCGATCTTTTAAAGCAGTGCCCCAAAATAGGATGCACTGGAAGGAAGCTTTTTACATGTTAATTTCCTGATTCCCAACTCTGAGACCAATGCCCTTTTAAGTAGTCTCCAGGGCTGACCTCATCCCAGCAATACCATCTATGCATTTTGCTTATTCCTTACTTTCACTAGACTCACTCTCCTTGAGGGTAGACAGCAGGCCTGTCTTTTTTACTGTTAGCACAGTGCCTGGATCTGTCCATATTCACCGAATGCTGACTGAGTTTTCTTGGCTTTAGAGCTAAGTATGTGAGAGTTAAATAGGATTTTCTTTACTTGGTCTGGAAACTACTTAACCAATATGGGTATTGTGTTTAATATTGCTTCCATGGGAAAAAGAAGGTAATTACTGGGCATCAGTCATGTGTGTCTTGGCACCTTTTAAATGTTGCATTTAATTGTCTCAATAACCTTGCAGAGAAGATGGTATTATCCCCATTTTTACCAATGAAGTACTTGAGATTTGAAAGTTATGTCACTTGCCCCAGGCTAGTGGTGGAATGCTTAGACCACAGCTGCAGTTTCTCTGATTTTTTTTTTTGTTGGAAATATGACATGCTCACATTTGAGTACTGCCTTATGTATAGTTAAGACACTGTATGTTGACTTATTTGAACCCTGCCATATTTTTAGAATTTTAGAGCTAATAGAGACTGAAACATTTTTTAGTTCATAAAGATAAAATTATTCTTGAGATCATTTTGAGGAAAGATGGTATATATTTATTGAAACTTACTAGAACTGAAATGTGAAGTTTGAAATCTACTAAGTAAGGAGCTTCACAGTAAGGAGCTACCAGCAATTTTAAAACAGGGTATGATCTAATAACCTGCATGTTTTGTAACTAAAGTTGTGACTGCTGTGTGGAAGATGGACAAAAAGTGGGGATGGAGGTAGGAGAGCCTGTCAGGAGGGGTAACTACAGGAGTTTAGGGGTGATTTTGACCTGAACCCAAGAGAGGATAGCAAGGATTGGTGATTCAGGATGGATTTTTGGATTGTGGACTTGATAACATTTTGTGAAATGCCTGTGTGTGTGGCAGGGAGTAAGGGTATAGGGACTGTTGTGTGGACTTGGAATGGGGAGCAGTTAGGGGAAGGAAGGAGAAAGAGGCCCAGAAAGAACCTGGTGTTTCTAGCTTGTGCAACTGGTTAGGTAGTGTTGCAATTAGCCAAGATGTAGAAAACAAGAGGTGGAAGAACAGGTCTAGGGAGGAAGATAATTAGTTTAATTTTGGAAATGTTGGACTTAGACATTGAAGACATGACAGTGAATGAGGTTACACAAGAAAGCATGTAGTCAAAAAGGTTGGAAACTGACTAGGAAACAACAACAACAAAGTGAGAATAGAAGAAAAAGCACTGGGAGCACTAATGAAACAGAGAAGCAGCCTGAGAGATAGGATGGGGGTGGGGGAGAGGCAAGAGAAAATGGAATGGGGGTGACTGTGGAAGATTGTTTCCCCAAAGCAAGAATAGCTGGCAGTGCCTGGTTGGATGAAGATTGCAGATGGAATTGGTAGGCAGAGGATAAGCTTGAAATGGGATGAGAAGGTGGTAGTAGAGTCATCGAAATGCCACCTGTGGGATGGAGAATGGGAGAGTTGAAGAAAGACATAGATGCATCTTCAGTGAACAGCTCTAGTGTTAGCAGGACCATGATTTGAAGTCAGCTCTGTTCATATTCTCCTCCCAATAAGACCCTGAAAGACACTAAAGCACCATATGTATGCAAAGTCAAAGATTATGTATTTCCTCTGCTATTTTTCCTGATTTTTATAGTCTGAGTTTACTTTTAGTACTAATTTTATCAACTAAGTAGGCTTCTCTGAACTCAGTACATTTATCTAACTGGAAAAGTTTGAGAAGAGCTTTCTGATTTGTCATTGTATAAGATTGACCCTGTTTTTTAAAAAAATGAATTCCCATCTGTGGTGACATGGAAATCTTAATTCATTGGCTCCAGTAAAAATAAATATTGCCAGCCGGGCTCGGTGGCTCAGTTTGTAATCCTGCGCCTTTGGGAGGCTGAGGTGAGTGGATTGCCTGAGCCCGCAGGTTCGAGACCCGCCTGGGCAGCGAGACCTCATCTCTACAATAAATCAAAAAAATCAGCCGGGCGTGGTAGCGCGCACCTGTAATTCTGGCTACTCGGAAGGCCGAGGCGGAAGGATCGCCGGAGCCCAGCAGGTCGAGGCTGCGGTGGCCGGGAGTGGCCACTGCACTCCAGTCTGGGCGACAGAGTGAGACTCCAACTCAAAAAAAAAAAAAAAAAAATATTGCCACTGGGACTCCAGATCATCCTCATGTTTTTGTTTTAAAGTTTAGGGTCTTCTTCTTCATCAGTGTGACAGTTGGTGGGCAATCTGAATTTTCAGTGTATACTACCTAATTTGAGGGAAATTTTTATTTTAAATGCCGAGATATTGATAGACAACTATATTTTATCTTTTCTGGCATGGACAACTGAAACCACTCACATAGTTCATTATCAGTCATCAAGAATCTGGGTTTTTTCCCATAACACATATGCCTGTCCCATTCAGTTCAAAGGTAATTCTTTAATTATCATCTTCTGCAACTCAGATCCTTTGTAGAGCACTCACTTGGCAGATATCTTGCAGAGAAAAATAAGGAAGTGGAAATCCTACCTGAAATTGTTGTTGAACAGTTTATGCTTGAATATAATTATAGACATGTTCATCTGCAAGAAGTCTCAGGGAAAATCTTATATAAAAACCTGGGATTCCACAGAGATGTTTCAAGCACAGCCATTAGGGGAAGGCCACACAAGTGGGGCTGTAGGACTCTTTTTTTTTTTGAGTTGGGGGTCTCAATCTGCCACCCAGGCTGAAGAGCAGTGCTTACGTGAGATTATGGTTCACTGTAGCCTTGACCTCTTGGGCTCAGCAATCCTTCTGTTTCAGCCTCCTGAGTTGCTGGGACTATTGGAGCACCACACAACATGCAAGTGTTTTAATTATTTTGGAGAGACAAGGTCTTGCTCTGTTGCCTAGGCTAGTCTCAAACTTCTGGGCTCAAATGATCCTCCTGTGTTGGCCTCCCAAAGTACTGGGATTATAGGCATGAGCCACCATGCCTGGTTTCTGGAACTCTTTTCTGGAAACTACAACCACCTACTTTAATCCATTCTATATATTAGTTTGTGGAAGAGGCAATCTATGTAAGACTTAAATTTGAAATTAGGCTATTTAAAACCAAAAAATGAAAATCTGTGTCTTCATTAGATACAAGGCTCTACCAGATTCACTGACATTCCTTAGGCTACCTGGTTATTGACAGAAATGCACCTGTAATTTTCCCCATGATTCTCTTCTCCTAGGGACTGACCCAATCGTCTGCTGAGCTGTAGCCAGCCACAGGGAGTCTGTTCTCCCTGTTAAGTCTTGCAGAGAGTTGGTTATCTGTTCTTTCTTTTACTATGTTCAAACATCTTTTTTTTTTTTTTTTTTTTTAATTTCTGAGGTAAGAACAGCCCTTTCTGGGACAATTCTTCTGGTCTAATATAATTGGGAGACTCTTCCTTCTTTAAGTTCATTCTTTTATTCTTTATTTGGTGGCAAAGGATAATGTTCACTTGCCATCTCCCACAAAGCAATCTTTACGTAGTTTGAGAGTATTTATTAAAACTCCATTCTGTCTTTTATTCTTTAAGCTAAGAAACATCAGTGGTTTGAGTATCAAATTCATCATTTGTCTCTTTTCTTTATATAGCAGTAGATTCTGTACTTTAACTGGCTTTAAGTCAGTTTTGCTGTTGTTTTTTAGTAAAAGTGGTAAAGGTGACCACTTATTTTCACTGAGTCATCAATCACTTAAATCACATGATTTGAGTGTATGGTGGTTTTGGCTGAGGAGTAGTACCAACTAGTCATTTTTTTCTATTCTTGGAGTTTTATTATATTCTTCAGATTGGTGTTAGTCAGGTGATTATTAACAAGTGTTATAACTACCTCTGGATTCCCACATTTAAACTGCTTTACAAAAGGCAACTAAAAAAATCTTATGTCCACTGCAAAAATCACATGTCCACTGAAGAGTCTATAATTATTTCTTAAAAGCAGGGATCAAGCCCAATTCATCCTAATTTCCCAAAGTAATAAGTACTGTATCTTATACAGAATAAACAGTAAATGGATGCTGAACAAATGAATAGGTGAATAGTGTTGTACACTTCTGCATGTTCATATAATGTAGTAAGTTCTTAATCCTTTATTTATTCCATGCCTTCTTATTCTTTTTTTTTTTTGAGTTGGAGTCTCACTCTGTTGCCCAGGCTGGAGTGCTGTGGCACACTCACGGCTACCCCAGTGTCAACCTGCTGGGCTCCAGTGATCCTTTCACCTCAGCCTTCCAAGTAGCTGTAACTACAGGTGCACACTACCATGCCCAACTAATTTTTTAAAAATTTATTTATTGTAGAGTCGTGGTCCCACTGAGTTGCTCAGGCTGGTCTCAAACCCACAGGCTCAGGCAATCCTCTTGTTTCAGCCTCCCGAAGTGCTGGCATGACAGGCTGAGCCACCAAGCCCAGCTGCCTTTCTTATTCTTATGTACTATCTTAGTCCATTTAGTGTTGCTATAACAGAATACCTGAGACTGGGTAATTTATAAAGAAAAGAGGTTTGGCTCATGATTCTGGTGACTAGAAAGTCCAAGGGTGTGGTGCCAGCATCTTCTTGGCTTCTGGTGAGGGCCAAGTGCTGTGTCACAACATGGTGGTATGGTGCCCATCCTAGATTGATGTTACTGGTAGCTAAAGTGTGTGTCTGTGAGCCACTTTAAGATAAATATGTTAAATATTGGAGGTAGTTTTTTAAATGTATGGTGGCACTTTTTACATAAATGATTTAAGTTATTCTACTTCATTTCTGGACAATGAATAAATGGTTTTTAAATTAGACCCAATTGAATGGTGGACAAAAAAAACCTAAGCTTTGTCAATGGCCAATTTATTTACAGTATTAATGTGAAGAACATATATTGACAATAAGGTTTTCTTTATTTTAGCAGAAAAATAATAAACTTAGTGATATTTATATAAACGAAGATTTTACCAAAGTCAAGAAAGAAAGAATGAAGCTTCTGGTTTATTGTGGAATAATTCAAGTATACCTAGCTTGCAGGCCTTCCTTCTTTCACGGATAGACTTTCCTCTGTGTGGGTGCCAGGGACACCTGATGCCAGCGTTTCATGTTTTGTTTTCAGGATCAGTTCAGTGATATGAGAATCAGCATAAACCAGACGCCTGGGAACGGCCTTGACTTTGGGTTTACAATAAAATGGGATTTTTCTGGGATCTTCGTAGCATCAGTTGAAGCAGGTAAATCATAGATTTTGCTCGAACTGAACTTTCTTTTCTTTTCTTTTATCCTATGTTGGGGTGGTGGTGTGTGTGGGGGGGAGGGAACAGAAATTAGTCTATTTGATATAGGAGGAGAAAGCATGTGAAAAAAATGCAGAAGGAAAACCAGGAAATGCATCCTCTCCCCAAGATTATTAGTTGGAGTTGTGAATTACATATTTATTCTCCTTGCCTAATTAATTTTAGTTTTGCAAAGTCTTAATTTTGTGACTCTATAGAATTTCGGATTTTATGTTTGGAAATTCCATCAAACGGTACTTACTGAACATTCAGAAACAACTTTCTATTATCAGCCATGCTTTCGGTGGAGATATATGTGCTGTATAATAAATCAATTTTTATTATATGTGAGCATCCTAACATACCTATTGCCAATGGAGTCTTCAGTATGCTTTGGGACTTTTTGCAAAAGGATTACCCCTCCCCCACTCAGGGTTATACCAAGTCAAGCCCAGGAACTCTTTGCAAATATTATAAGGGCTAAAATTACAATGAAAGCTGTTATATCTAAAGACGGTCTTTTTTTTAACATATTTTCACTATATAAAGTTTCATGTTAACACCAGTTATTTCTACCCATTTTTTTTACATATCAAGGCAGCTTTAATTAGGTGTAATGGTATTGTAGTTATAATTTGAAGTCATTTTATTTATTTATTTAATTAATTAATTTATTTTGAGTTGGAGTCTCACTCTGTCACCCAGACTGGAGTGCAGTGGCCACTCCCGGCCACCGCAGCCTTCAACCTGCTGAGCTCTGGTGATCCTTCCATCTCAGCCTTCTGAGTAGCCAAAATTACAGGCATGCACTACCATGCCCGGCTGATTTTTCTGATTTACTGTAGAGAAGAGGTCTCGCCAAGTTGCCCAGATGGGTCTCGAACCTGCGGGCTCAGACAGTCCACTCACTTCAGTCTCCCAAAGTGCAGGATTACAGGCTGAGCCACCGAGCCCAGCTGAAGTCATTTTAAATAGCCATGTTTTCTTCTCCCTTCCAGAATGCATTCAATTTGGAAGTTCAGTTAATATGTGCTATATTTCACATTTTAGATTTATCTATCTTGCATGCTGGCATTAGAATAGACAGATCCGTTTAATAAATCAGAAATAGATTCTGATATGTAAAAATATACTAATGCATGGTATGAAAAGGACCACACTTTGTTTAATCAGTCACCAATTGAAGGACATTGGAGTTATTTCCAACTTTTGGTGATTCTTAATAAAACTGTTATAAACATTCAGTTATACCTATGTGTGAACACAAGTTTTAAAAAATTTTTCTTTTTGAATATCTAGGAGTGGAATTATTGGGTCATATGGTAGGTGTACATTTAACTTGATAAGAAACTGAAATTATTTTCCAAGCATTCCCACCGACAGCATATGTGAGGGTTTTAGCACATTTTAGGTTTAAAAATAACTTAAATTTTTCTTCATCTTTAGGAAGTTAATAGAAAGGTGTTATTGAATACATGAGTTTATCATTTTTTCTGTAAATTTCAATGAAGATATATACTATAGAATTTTAAAAATGCCTTTGGTGCTTTGTATGACCCAGATACATGGTAATTTTAAAAAATTTGGTGATTCTTTTCCAACTCAAAATAAAAAGAAATGGCTACTTGGTTATAATTTTTATACTTCCTTAAGTTGTTTTTCTTTAACTTAAAGAAACAGTGACTAGTAGGACATGTGGGCTTTTTCCCAATTGGTTGTTTAATTTACTTTGCATTATATAGGTGGCCCGGCAGAATTTTCTCAGCTACAAGTAGATGATGAAATTATTGCTGTTAACAACACCAAGTTTTCGTATAAGGATACAAAAGAGTGGGAGGAAGCCATGGCTAAGACTCAAGAAACTGGAAACCTAGTGCTGGACGTGAGACGCTATGGAAAGGCTGGTAAGTTTGTGTTACCACCATGTCTGGCATTCTGAATTGGGAACTGGTCTTTGGCAAATGGTTATAACAGTTTGCTTCAGTAACTCTCTATTTTTTTCATTTGATTTATTTTTGGTTTTAATGGTGTTTTGTAATTATATTGTAACAAATCTTGAATACTACCTCCTTGAATATTCTGTCTGAACTTTTCACTAGCAAATTTACTGACTTCTACATTATTTATTTACTGATTTATGTACTGGTCTGACTGAATGCAAATATCAATGGAAAGCAGTTGTATCTGCATTCAGAAATCATTTATAATAATGTTGAGTATTAAGGATTGTGCTATGATTTAACTTTCTCTGCAGCATCATAACTGTACTGGCAGAAGAGGTAGAGAGCGTGGTAGGTCATATTCCTGTTTGTTCTCAAAGAACTTTCAGTATGCATTCTATTATTGTATTTCTGAGTTATTGAGGTTAGATGGGGACAGGAATTAAGCCTCTCCAGACCTACCAGCTTACTATATTAAAATCTAATATCTAGTCCTGGTTAATGGGAAGAGTCAGCAGATTTGCTAGTCTTTTTATTATTAACATGATTTAACCCTTGTGTTTTGGGAAGGTGGTCTGTTGGTAAAAACCCTAAAACTTTCCATTTCTTTCACATGCTACCTGATTTGTTTGTCTTGTATGTGTACATTTTTTATATGTGCATTCAGTAACTTTATTCTTTCCACTTCAACATTTACGTGTACTCATTACTTGATCTTCATGTGCCAATCAGACTGGGGCAAAGACCAACCTTCCCTACCATTTTCACGGCATAAAACCCTCAATCTCACCAGTATGGCTGCCAAAATTATAGGTTCACCTGAAACAAAGTGGATTGATGCAACTTCTGGAATTTATACATCAGACAAATCATCAAGTTTATCTGTAACAACTGATTTCTCCGAAAGCCTTCAAAGTCCTGTGAGTATTGTGAGAAGCAGGAGTACTTGTGTGGAACAAAGCAGCTGTAGGAATTGTATATGGGAAAAATAACTTAAAAATGTAGCTGGGCACAGTGGCTCAAGCCTGTAATCCAGCATTTGGGGAGGTGGAGGCAAGAGGACTGCCTGATCCTAGGGTTCAAGTTCAGCCTGGGCAACTTGGTGAGACCTTGTCTCCACAATAATTCAAAAAATTAGCCAGGCATGGTGGTACATGTCTGTAGTTCCAGCTACTTGGAAGGCTGAGGGGGAAGGATCCTGTAAGCCTAGCAGGTCAAGGCTGCGGTGGCCATGAGCATGCCACTGCACTCCAGCCTGGGTGACAGAGTGAGACTCTGACTCAAAAAAAAAAAAAAGTAAATAATTGAATGAGGTAACTTATAGTAAAGAGATACAGTAAAAAAAAATTTTTTTAAAACCTTAGGCATTTCTCATTAATAGAGTAGTTGTGAGTTATATACTGGCAAAAAGATTCCATAATGTTGTTTTGCAGGTGTTTCTTAACAATCTTTATCAGTGTCCATTTTTCAGATCTTTGTGAAATAGTAATTATGTAAAATTATACACTATAACTTCTCTACATGTTCGTTTGTCTTTGCTGGCAAATAAATGTGGTAAGTGTGAGCAGTGTGAAACTTTACAAAGTACTTTTAGTTTTTGTGTAGGTGTATTTGATGGATTGACTTACATATGTGGTTGAGAGATAATTAGTTGCAATAATTGATTCAAAAGTATAATGTGGAAATTTTTCCAAGTGTCAATGTCAAAGCAATACTGGTTCATATAGGCTTTGAAAATGGTTTTTATTTATGATTTGTTCATTTAAATTTATTTAGTAATTACATTTAAATGCCAATGAAATATTTGGCTTTATATTATTTACATAGATCGTGATATCATCCTAAAGTACTTCCTTTTATTTAATAAGGAGATCTTGCTACATTATATTTAAGAATGGTTTAATGTTAGAGAATCCTGGGTGGCTATTTTGCTTACTCATCGATATAAGCCAGATGGTTTAGTAATTTATTGGCCAATTGTGATTCTTGGAAAATTAATGATTGATTAAAGTTAAAGCCATCCATGCCTGTTAGCTTGTCATTAATTCCTCCACAAATATTGAGTAATAATGAAAAAAATTTAAGTTTCTACTGTATGCAAGAAACTGTAAGGAATGCATCAATATCCTGAGACTCATCATGTTAAAGTGTATTTGCACTAGTAGCATGCATTATTTAAGCCAAACTCCAACTGGAGAGACTTCTTTTTTTTTTTGAGTTGGAGTCTCACTCTGTCGCCCAGACTGGAGTGCAGTGGCCGC